ACTACTACTACTACTACTACTACTACTACTACTACTACTACTACTACAGTACTATTACAGGACTACTACTACCACTACTACTACTACTACTACTACTACTACTACTACTACTACTACTACTAACGACTGCGAAGAGTACTACAACGACTACGTCTGCTATAGACGACTTCCAACAAGAGTCAATCACATCATTGCACGCAACATTCGGAAGCTTGTTGTTGCCAAAAGAGCAAGAGGTTAGCGCGCTGGCAAAGGCATCACCTGCAAGAGGAACGACAGCGACAGTGAAGAGGCACAAAACGAAGCAAAAGACTGCAGCGCCTTCGCTGCTTTTTTGCAGTGGTAGTACGCCTCTGAGCAAGCTTCTGCTCTCGTGGGCCAGGCTCAGCAGCACGCTTTCGACCTGTGCGACGGGAGGCATCAGGTAAGTTTTGAAGAGAATGCAGTGCTGGACGCTGTGGTAATGCAAGGCTGTCAGCAAAGACCGTGTGTTCACATTGCCCATGGGAGGCAAAAGGTGGACACGCGCAGCAACTGCGTCCGTTGTGCTGGATGACGTAGACGATGTCCTGAACGATGGGAAAGGAAACGAACATGCAGAATAGTTGACAGGTTGAGTCATTAGACGGTGCGCCTGGAAGACAGCCCGGAGGCTTGCAAGTTGCAATTCGTGCGCCTGGTTCAGAATTCCGCAATCATGCAGTAACTTGGCTGGATTGCTTTCACTTATGATGCGCGCACCAAATCGCGCTGCGCCTACAACAACAACACCACTACTACCACCACTGCTGCCACTACTACTACCACCATCACCACCACCACGACGACTACTACTACTACTGCAGCTACTACTGCTGCTACTGCTACTACTACGTTAGTACTGCTACCTACAACTATACTGCTACGACCGCTTAGCCCAAAGGCATTCATGGCTCACAGCGCTTTGCGAATTGAAAGAAACAGATGAATGTCCAAAGTCTGTGGCTGACAATTGGAGATGCAGTGTCTTTCCCAACCAGTTCCATGGTATATACGACACGCACTGCAACCAACCGCTGTCTCTTGGTGCCACCCAAGCAAGCAACCAACCAA